ATCTGATTTTTTACATAGCCATTTTAGGTTTGCTAGGTTTTGGCATTTCAGCTTGTGATCTTCCTGATAGAAGACAATCTAACCAGGACAGAAAGGTACTGTACATGCCCTTCTGCTAGTTCATTCTTAATTATGACTTTGGTGATATTGAAAATGACATTTAAGATCCCTTCACGCCTGTGTTTTTGTGAAAGACTTGAATGAGGCCCATCTGGTCTAAGTAGGGCACTGGGGATGACAGCGCGGCAGCATTTTAATATGTTCTCTCAGAGATGAGGGGGCTGCTGCGTTACAGAGATGATGATGGCACTCCCAGTCACGTTCACTCACTTAGAAAAGCTCGTCTTCACTTGATCATTCTTGACAGTAACAAAAGGGGTGAATAGTCTCTAATCAACACCAAAAATTCTGATCACTGTTGGCATTGCCCTAATCAGCCCATAACAGCATTTTGAAGACAGTGTTAGCAGATAATGGAAGGTTAGTCATACTAAACAATAAGAGATGACAAGTTCCTTTCAAAAACCACCTTCTCAAAGATGTGTTAAAAAAAAAAATGAATGGTACAAAATTAAGAGACATTCGGGGACCTGGGGTGCTTCTGAGCACCTGGTAGCCCAATGAGAACTGAAAAAATACTGGGAACTGTGTCATATCTAACAAAAAGGTACCTCTGTAGAGTGATGTCTGGGATTTATTTTGCTGAGAGAGCTTTGCATTATACTACACCAGTACAAGTTCAGAGCCAGCATAATGATGTATTCTTCAAGTGATTTTGTCATCTACCAGGATACCGTACACTTTTAATGTAGTATACTATATTAAAATGTAGTAAACATTTTAGTTATTGGAGAATTTTCAGAATTGATAAGTTTACACTTTATGTATCAGGTTACGACAACTGTTGCCTTGTGTTAGGTGTTTACAGGAGATGCAGGATTTTTGTTATTTTGTCCCTCCATCAAAACTTGCTTTATGCAGTGCAGTTCCAAACAGCCACAATACAGCATCATTTGGCACAATTTGCAATGCAATTGCCAGGCTTCAAATGATTTGTCTGAAAGGTTGAGAAAATAATGATGAATCAATATATTTGGTAGAGATATGAATCTATTACCAAAAATAATGAGGCATGTAGGTACCAATAATAGACAAGATAAATGCTTTGTGTTTTCCATTCTTATGAATACATCTCACAAGAACCGGAAAAAAATGTGCTCATGTCTAGCAGAGCAACTGTCCACCTCTTTATGAAAACCTAGAATTTCACAATAACTGCCATCAAATAACAGGCAAATTTCTATATACTGTAGTATTTCAAGACCATCCTTCACTAAATTACACTTGTCCTAGAATCAAGAGGGGGCTTTTGCCTTTAAGCTACAGGAAAGGAGCTGCACAGAAAAAAATATTCATAATAAATCACAACTAGGCACAGTACAGTGAATCGAGCATCCTTCCTGCTTTATGCCTTGTCTTCTATCTGCAGTGAGCAGGCTCACCTCTCCTGTGTTCTGTCTTTGAATCTGCAGCCAGGCTTTCCATTGTCTCTGCGTGCTGTCAGAACCCACCTCTTTGAGAGAGATTATTTTCTCTTTCATATCTAAAAGTGTGCAGTGAGATCTAATAATACCATATCCAATTGATGTTGGGGAAAATGTAGCACGTCACTGGAGAAAAGAAATAAAACAAACAAAACAAAAAAAACAAAAAAAAATCAGGTCTTCTATCTACAAGTGTCAGCACCAGAATCTCTAATTCATCTGGATAAACACATATCTGTGCCTTATCCATAATTAAAACCTCTGTTTTCTCTGGCACATGGAATCAAGGTGTGAGGGGAAACCTCTGAGGCATTTCCAAATGCAGGGCACACTGACTACTGTTAGCCTCTTCCCCTAGCCGAGAAGGTGGTGCAGAAATACAACCCATTATGGGAGAAGCACGCCTCACTGAGAGGTGTGTTTTTTTAATTGTTGCTTTTTTTAATGAGACAATCTTTTAAGAAGGCAGAACATGAGGAATGTTGACTGATGTACAGCACTGAGTGAATTAATCATAGTAGGGCATATGAGGGAATGCTCGCAAGGGGATAAATGGATTACTGTACATACAAACACACCCAGTCATGCATTAGAGCCAGCCTGTACAGCCTTAGCCATAAGTGCCATCTCTGTACAGTATCAGACTGATGCAGGTTACAAGAAGACTATCAGCATCTCTATTATTATTGTTCTCAAAACATGACTAATGCTTGCTGTTCTTATACACAGAGCAGATGGAAATGAAATGTTTAAACACTACACCCAACTATTTCAGAGCTAAAATAGGCTTTGACTGCTCAGCACCAAACGTCATTTTTCAGTTACCTGGTTATGTGCACTTCATTCACTATGCAAAATGAAGATAGTCTATTTTGTCTTCAGGGCAGTTCAAAGACAAAACCCCTCTGACCATAAGTGTCTTTTCTACCTAGAGTATTCTTCAGCTTCTAGGATAATTAGCAGTATTTTTTTTATAAATTCGTTGGATAACCTGCAAACAGATTCACTGCTTCAAGTCTTGACAGTGTTGTGCTTTCATGAATGCAGAACTGAAGAGTGTGGGCTTTACCAGTATAGTCTGAGGACAAGGCAATATTAGTCCAACAACCAATATTTGCTTCATTTTAAAAATAAAGTACAATTAAGAATCAAATATGATAATGTAGATCAATAAGTATTAAAAAAAACCTTATTATGTAAGTACAATACACCACTGGTTTTAGCTGGTAATATTGACTACCCCAGGAACTCTGCCCCATGATGCAACCTGCTGAAACTTCCACACAGTGGTTGATAACTCTACTACACTCCCCTGGGAGTTTGGTTTTCTCTTTTAAATTGATCAGTGATGTTACAGTTTACAAGGGAATTGAATTTAACAAAACTTTATTACAAAGAACAGCAGCCAAATGATCAAACTGCATCCAGATATATGTGAAGCTGAGAACACACACATCAAACTTTGTTTCAATAAAGTTATCTCTGAAGGAACAGGACATCTTGATTTAGATGCAGAACACAATCCCATGCTCGGCTGGCTCCTCCCATGAGGGCCCAGGAGATTAAGATTTAATGGCGATACCGAGGGAATGACACTATCTGTCTGCAGCCTCACATCTCTTCACACAACATCACCTCTGCTGCTTTTCTCTTTCTCTCACCCAAACACATACACAAATGCACTGGCCTAGACTGCCATGCATACAAATGTGGGTACATACACACAGGCATGTGTGCACTTCTCTCAAGATGCCTGCACACATGCTCACTTTGCAAATTTTGACAGTTACATATGTAATCTAAAATCTGACAATAGCTCAGCAACTGGCACTCGAAGTCACCTGGAGTTTGATTTGTAAATTAAAAATCTTGCCAAGATGATATTTTTGTAGCATCAGTACTCCAAGTGGCTCAAAAATTGATAGATCTACACTTAGCATGCCCGAAAGGGACGCAGTGTTCCATTTAACAGTGTAATCCAGTGTTCAGATGCTATGAAGACAGTTTAAATCAAATTATATGTGACATATAACAACTGCCCTTCATTCGTCTATCATCATATGTATCCTCTGCCAGTACTGTACTGTATACATAATGAAATGAAATTCCAGGGCTGTATTATGACACACAATTCAAGTATGCACTCAACATCAGATCCACAGCACAAACCACATACTAACTGTACTTCTGAATTCTTTAGACCACTCTTACAACATTCAGATGCAACCACCTTTTCAGAATTCATACCCTAATGTTATCCAGGTCTAAAATGTATCTGTAATGGCTTCCTCTTTTCAACCACTATTTCTTATCCCTTGATATTTTCAGAGGCATTAAGAACTGAAATTAATGAGGGATCAATTTTCATCTGGATTCACAGGGTCAGGTTAGTTCATGAAAAGAGCAAGTAAATCTCATGCTTTATGCACTAGTATCAAACCTAAAATTTCACATACTGCACTGACACACATAATAAAAGTAATGTTCCTTGGTATAGAATATTCATATGCATCTTTGATTTGTCACACTTACATGGTCTTTAAATGCTAATAATACACAGTAAAAACCATGAAGTAAATGTCACTAAATAACTGATAAAGGGCACATGTCAGACTCAATCATGGCGTACACAAGTACAAACATAATCATCCTTTTATAATCTGATAGCAACACATGAAGTAAGCTGCTGTACTTTGCAATCCAAGAATTGAAATTATTTATAAATCATAGGTGATTTCATTAGAAGCTGTGAAGAGTTTGTGGACTCGCTGTAAATTTAAAAGGTTGCTCCTAGTCTGACTGAAAAACTAGGTTGACAGTGTGAATCTTTTTTTCAGATGGCACACATCCTACTGTCTTGACCTGCTTGTCCTCACTGCATTAATGAGGGATCATGTCATTATTCAGCAATGATTTGTGTGTCAGCGGTCAAACAGGCTGCAACAAGGGACACTAGCTCAAAGTGATGACTCAGTGACACAGAGCACATAAAGCCAAAGGAGCTGGATCACTAGAACAGGTACAGTGTCACAAAGCTAAAGGTGTACACATTTGGATAAAAGTGGAATGCAACACCGCCCTCTACAATGGATTACACTGAGTTATGTGATAATGGCATATGTACAGTATGTGTTCAGAAGGGCCCTTTTATATTTTCCCAATATATGCAATAACCACAAATGAGGAAGCAGAAGCACATTTCAGGAATAAAATGGATGAAATGGTTGAGTGAAAACCACACAATTAAGGACAGGTGCAGGTAGTGAGCAACACAGTCATGTCAAATGGACCTAAACAAGACCAAAGAAGGGGTGTGTTTTTATGCTTATGTTATTTGTCCATCCCTCACTACTATAAAATCATCAGGACCGACGTAACAGAGATGAAATAATCCAAAATGAACACAAAAGTTTTGTGAATTAAACAGCTAGCATACTGTAACTGTGTACTGCTTACCACTTTGAGAAGCAATCATCCCCTCAGCCATCTCCTATTCTTTCTCCCCTCTTTTGCTTTGGTTGTCCCTACTTTTGGTCTTTTATCTAGAAGTAGAAAAGCAGGAAAAAGCAGAAATGAAAAAAAATTATGGGTAAGCTTGTAAGTTACAATGAGAATCAATACAAAAGGAACACAATTTCAAACACTGTGAAATCACAATGCTTAGAAATTAGATTGACATAGAATAGACAAGGAATCAATAGCAGAAACTGTCAGCACATGAGCAAAGCCTCGCTGCATGCTGAGCTTTCGCATGAAGTAAATCACATAATACATATATATTTTATTTTAACCCAAACAAGTCTTACAATTTCAGTTTTGAGTTTATTACAAACATTTTTCATCAGAAGGTCCTGATGTTTTTCAAGTCCATAGCAAACAGCGTGAGCTCAGGAACACACACTGGCCCCTGCCTACTACATAGTTATCTCCAAGTCCAATGCAGAGAGATTTAAAAAGAAATGTTTGACTCAGGACGCTCACATTAAAAAACCGTGCTATTATTATGCCATCAAGAGTTCAAGGACAATAGCTGTCCTGTTTTTTAACATTTACTGTATCTGTTAGATACCCTTGTTAAGCCTGAACCCAGCTCCTCACAGAGGGCACAGAATGCTGATGGGCTGTGACAGTGTGATTTTGCTGAAATCATAATAATCCCCGTTTTTCTGCCCTTGATATTACAGATGAGTAAAACATCTCCGACAATCCCTTGGTCTTGATGTAGGCCTTCTAATAATCTTAATATGAAAACATTCAGGATAATCACCTTTATTTGGCCAAGCATGTTACACATACAAGGAATTTTTTTCCGTTATAGAACTGAGGCAGCCATCTGCGGCGCCAACACCGATGGCTCTGACCATCAGGGGCAACTTGGGGGTTCAGCGTCTTGCCCAAGGACACTTCAACATATGGAACTGCCGTCACTGTGATTTGAACCTACAACCCTCTGGTTGGGAGACTACTACTCTACCCACTGATCCACAGTCACGCCATGTCATTAGACAAATGACACTGTATATACTAAAAGGTACTTATCTGGCGCAGATCTTCAGCCACGCTAGCACTGCTAAATAATGTCAGGGTGGACTGCCATGAAAATTTGTATAGGCATGTATGGTCCCAAAAGTATGAATCCAAATTACTTCGATGATGCCTTGACCTTTCATCTAGCACAACCTGCAGATCAAAGTGTTACAAGATAATGGAAAAAAACCTGATCTGTTTACAGTACTTCTCATACATCTCCACCATCAGTTCACAACTTCATTTTTCCCAGTACAGATAATTAAGGAAAACACCAAACACACAAACGTGAACATAGAATTTCACTCAAGGAAAAATGCATCAAGCTGCAACAACTCTGGGCTGACTAGCCTTAAAAAACCTGCTGATATCTTCACTGTCTCTTTGCACTGGGTGAGGAGCCTTTACTCATAACTAATATATACAGGAATGAACTGTATCAACATTGTATACGGTTTGTATCTCATGCACCATTGCAAATGCCTGTGTATTTATTGTGCTTTGCAAATAAAGTTATCATGATTCAGATGATAATTACAATATATTGTAGCATGTAGTATGATTTAGTAATGGTTCATTGACCGTCTGTCACAAGCTTGGCCTTGATTCATAAGGATGCATTAGAATGGCTTTTGCTACCTGGAATCAAGATGTACACTAATCAAGACAACAGCGTCTCTTTTTAATTATGACCATAAAGCATCTTAATATGCAAGAGCACCTGGATGCTGTTATAGAAACCAGAGTGTCACTGACATTTGCTTCTTATATTGCATCCCAAACCCAGATAATAATGTGCTTTATTTGTCAGAGATCGGACAAATAAAGAAATGGGATTTTTTTTTTTTTTTTTTGCCCCTTCCCTTTTCACTGATCAGCTGGAAGTGAAAAAAGATAAAAGGTTGTAACCAACACGAGAGCAAAACTTTGCTCGTAGCAGAAAGGGTGCATCTATAAAGTGACGATATAATGATCTAATATGTCAGAAATAACTTTGAAAGATAACACTAATATCAAACTGAACAGTTTTATAATCATGACACATTTAAAAAACATATCACTGCACTATGTGGTTTTTATTTGTGAGTAATGCATTGTACACACATTTTTAAACACACTGTTCTTAGCCTATTTTGAAAATTTGCATCTAAATCTTTGCTGATATTGTTTCTAGAGAGGTCAGCACAGGACTTTTAGGTCCCCACATTTCACCAGAGAGAAAAAGGGAAAGTCCTTCTGAAAGGCTGCCAGATGGCTTCCACAGTTTGATATCATTGCAGCACAATAAAAAGTCATTTCTACACAATGAACTATTACTTATTATTACTGGATTTCATAAGAGATTTTGATTTTACTATTCAGCCAAAAATAAGAAAAATGAAATAATATGCCAACATAACTCATCCTTGACATCCAAATGTCTTTCCCTTCAACCAATGATACACAGCTAATAAAGCAGAACCAATTACTTTGCACAGCTGGGCCTCTTTTATATGTTCCTTTTGATCTTGAGCATTTGATTGCTTGTAAATACATGCCTGATTTATAGTTCTTTACACTGGGCCCAATCACCAGAATGCAATTAATCACATTATTATGCCAATTAAGAAGTTGGACTGCTCCAGTGAAGTTAGAAAAAAAGCAGGGGAACGGAAGATGTGAGGTCTTCAAGGAAGTTAATGTTACATCTACAGTACGACTAGCCCTCAACCACAAGGTTTCACACGTTAGTGCTGTTTACATATGGGTCGATTTGCAGTTGTTGATGCAGGGTTTTTGATATGAACCACTGTCACACATACTATTACTAACAGATGAGTGCTGTTGTTAAGATAATATGCTCTGATAATTAGCATGGGACACCACTTACCATAGCAAAGAAAGAAATGCATTCAGACTGCACACATGACACAGTGTAGGTGAAGAATGAGTAATTGAAGAAACAGTTTACATTACACAGAGCAGTTTCAAAGTGTGAATGCTCTTAAGTGAGATAGAGACATACACTTGTGTTTTGATCCGTGATGGTCCAAGAAAAGACTAGGCATCAGTGTAGAAATAAAGGAAGTTGCAGGACTTGCTTGAAAAGGTGATGATTTGATAGATTGTTTTTTTGTGTGTGTTGAACCGCTGTTCTCTGAAATAGGAAACTACTTTTTGCATCTGCATTTCAAGGCCACAGGGCATAAATAAACTGATTGATTTTCGAAGCCTTGCTGTACTGTAAGCTAACGAACAACTACGTATCTTGGCTAACATGAAATCAATGTATCTCTAAAGATAATCTTTACTTCATATATTTGGTAGTCTAAACACATCTGACTGATGTTACTGTTGTTTCTAAAACCAATGAGAAAGGTTAATCAAACTGCAGCACTTTCTATCCTTCTCTCTTCCTCTCTTCTTCCCAGTGCACAGTATAAACTAAATTCCAGCAATCAGTGATCATTAGGGCGTACTGTACCCCTTTGTACACTGCACATCTATGATCTAATTATAAAAAAGGTCTTCGGAAATGGACAGTGGCCTATAATGACGCCTTGAGGTTATTATTGAAAAGGCCTAGATGGACGAGAGCCAGTGAACTGTTTGTGTCACTTTGAATCAGTACATTATCAGTTGTTTTAAGAAATCTGATGTATACATGTATTTGTTGCTTGAAGAGTTCTGAAAACAACATTGTTTTATTGTTGACTAATATTGCATATAGTGACATGCGATACACATCAGTACTCTGGAAACACTGGTATACCTGTTTTAAATGGATAGTAGTTTATTGGTTGTTGTTTTTGTTTTTTATTATCTGTTTTTTTAAATTTGGACCCTGAGTCTGTAATAAAGTATATCTGTCTATCATTACTACTACTGATGTTACACACTTAAAATTAAAACCAAAACTTTACTTTCAGCATTTAATATGTGACCTGTGACTAGGAAGTTGACTTGGGATTACAATGCCAGGCCTTCCTATAGTATAATCTCCTACCTTTGCCCGACCTCCATGTCAAATTACTGTCCATCTTCATCTAGTTGATTGGATTTACTTTCAGCTCTTATTCCATCATCACTGACTGTGTTTAAAAACATTCCCCCTTCAACTATTTTTCATTCACCAATACAAAGTTACACCAATGCCATCCTATCCTTTTATCGTAACACCCCCACACACTGCAAAGATCTGTTTACCTTGTAATTTCTACTTCGCTGTTTGCTGAAATATGTATATTGTGACCTTTTACTGACTCTACATACTGTAGATACTGCGCATTCTGCACTGCTGTTATTGCACTTCTGGTTAGATGCTAAACTGTATTTTGTTGCCTTGTACTTGTACATGTGTAATGACAAAGTTGAATCTAATCTAATCTTTTATACAATAGCCTTAGAAAGTATTCAGACCAGTTTACTTTATTATGGCATATATTCAGTTTTAAAATGATAAAATAGCTATTTCTGCCAATAAAGCTATACTCAGAAATACATAATGACAAAGTGAAAACAAGTTTTTAGACATTGTTGGAAATGCATTTAGTAAAAATTAAATGACCTCTCTTATTTACAAAAATATTTAGACCCTTATTTTGGTACCCTGTCAAAGCCTCTTTGGCAGCAATTACAACTTTGAGTCCTTTTGGGGAAGTCTGTGCACATTTGGATTTTGGCAGTTTATGCCATTCTTTCTGGCAGATCCCCTCAAGCTCCAGCAGACTGGATGGGAAGAGTCTGTCACCTGGCATCTTCAGGTCTCTCCAGAGATGTTGCATGGGATCTACGTCTGGGCTTTGCCTGGCCTATCCAGCATTGCCATGTTGAAAGGTGAACCCCTGCCCCAGTCTATAAGGTTGTGTGCACTCTGGAACAGGTTTTCTTCAAGCACCTTTGTATTTGGCTGCATTCTTCATCCCCTCAGTTCTGACCAGTTTCCCTATCCCTGCTGCTAACCCCCCTCATAGCGTGATGCTGCCAACATCATTCTTCACTATAGGGATGGTGTTAGTCAGGTAATGAGCTGTTC